CTCTCATCCATCAAGGTTTGGATGACAAGATGTTCGAGAAGGTTGCAAATGCAACAACCTCCAAGGAAGCATGGGATATTCTTCAAACTTCTTTTAAAGGTTTGGACAAAGTGAAAAAAGTTCGCCTCCAAACCTTAAGAGGAGAGTTTGAATCATTGCATATGAAGGAAAATGAATATGTTGTGGATTATATTTCGAGAGTTTTGGCTATTGTCAATCAAATGAAAAGATATGGTGAAGAGTTGAAAGATGATAGGGTCGTGGCAAAAATACTACGATCCTTAATTTCAAAATTTGATTTTATTGTTGTTGCCATTGAAGAGTCCAAAGACTTGGACACCATGACCATAGACGAGCTTTCGAGTTCCTTGCAAGCACATGAAGAGAAGTTGAAGAAACCGAAAGAAGAATCGGTTGAACAAGCGTTGCAAGCAAAATTTTCTTTCAAAGAGAAAGATGAAAGGCGTGGCTCGCAACAAAGAGGCCGTGGAAATGGAAGAGGTCGTGGTAGAGGCGGAAGAGGAGTAGTCAACCACCTTCAAGTAGAGAAAATAAAGGCCAAGACTTTAAGTTCAAGAAGAGGTCGTGGAAGAGGGAAAGGATGGAAGGCAAAATCAAGGAAGGTATGACAAATCAAATATCGAATGTTATACTTGTCATAAATTTGGTCATTTTTCTTGGGAATGTAAAGATAACTTTGAAGAGAAAAATAATTTCGTGGAGAGCAAAAATGAAGATGAAGATGCCACCTTGCTTCTCGCATGCAAAGGAGAAGAAAGTGCCGAGAAGCACCGATGGTACCTTGATTCCGGTGCAAGTAGCCATATTTGTGGAAAGAGGGATTTATTTGTGGAACTTGAAGAGCTGAATCGTGGCACAATCACTTTTGGAGATTCTTCACGTGTTAAAATCAAAGGAAAAGGTACGATTTTAATTCGCTTGAAGGATGAAAGTCATCAATTAATTTCTAATGTTTTATATGTGCCGGAGATGAAAAGTAACATTTTGAGTTTGGGACAACTTTTGGAGGAAAATTATGACATTCATTTGAAAGATAAAAAGTTGTTTATGAGAGATGAAAAAGGGAGATTATTAGCTAAAGTTCCTATGGCTAATAATAAAATGTTCATTTTAAATCTTCAAAATGATGCTCCAAGATGCTTACTTTCATGTGCCAAAGACTCCTCTTGGCTTTGGCATATGAGATTTGGTCACTTGAATTTTGTAGCTTAAGGTTGATGGATAAAGAAAACATGGTGAATGGATTGCCAAGTATTAATCATCCCAACCAATTTTGCGAAGGATGTATCTTTGGAAAGCAAGCTAGAAAAAGCTTTCCTAAAGAGTCTTTGACAAGAGCAAGATGCCCTTTGGAGTTAATTCACATGGATGTTTGCGGACCTATCAAGCCATCTTCACTTGGTAAAAGTAATTATTTTTTACTTTTCATTGATGATTATTCTACAAAAACTTGGGTTTATTTTTTAAAGGCAAAATCAGAGGTGTTTGAAACCTTTAAAAAATTCAAGAGGATGGTGGAGAAACAAAGTGGCTATCAAATTAAGTCACTTCGGTCGGACAATGGTGGAGAATTCACTTCAAATGAATTCAAAGTTTTTTGTGAGAAAAATGGAGTTCGCCATTTTTTAACCGTGCCAAGATCACCACAACAAAATGGCGTTGTGGAAAGAAAGAACCGGACCATTCTTAACATGGTGAGGAGTATGTTGAAGAGCAAAAATATGCCAAAGGAATTTTGGGCTGAAGCTGTTGCTTGTGCGGTATACTTACTAAATCGTTGCCACACAAAACGTGTTCATGGGAAAACACCTCAAGAGGCATGGAGTGGTTCAA